GTGCTATGGTTAAGGAAGGAAGATTGGCATTTTTTTGAGTACCTATGTCAGAATATGCGAGGGAGAGGTCACAACTGGTTGAGAGGGAAGGAGAAATCCAGGAAGGCTTCTGAGAGAAAGAAGCTTCTGAGATGAGCCTTGAAGCATTCGCAGGATTTCAGTACCCTGAATGCCCAATGTGTATCCTTAAAAAATAGACTCTTCTGTGAAGAATTGCCAAAGGATTAACGATCATGCTGAATTCAATACAAAATAATTACTGGGCCGGGCATGGTGGCTCACACCTGTAATCCCAGTGCACTTTGGGAGGCTGAGGTGGGAGGATTGTTTGAGTGGAGGAGTTCAAGACCAGCCTGGGCAACACAGTGAGACCCCATCTCAAAAAAAAAAAGAAAATCATTACTGGAATGTGCAAGAAACTTTCTGAAGTAAGCAGTTGTAGAATGTGAGTAGTGATTTGGGAAGCCATAGTGCCCCAGGTAGATGAGTAAGATGCATGCTGGACAGTCACTGGGGTGGACCAGGGAACGGGCACTTAGGGTCTGGCATGGAGCAGTGTGTCCTGCTGTGCTGTACCCGACAGTGGGTGGCTGTTAGCAAACACCACCCAGGAGACCTTAGCACCCACAAACTGCAGTGTTTTAGAATAGCCTGGATTACGCTGTGGATGTTTAAAGCAAAGGATAAATAATGCTCCATCTAGTTTAGTTTCACTGCAGCTCCTACTTGAAAACTGAATAGACTCAGTGGCCATCCAGCCCCTCTTGCCCCGATATTTCACTCCATGGTGAGTCACAAGCCCTGGTCAGACCCTAATGGGCACAGCCCCACCTCGAACAGTTCCTCTTTCAGGCTGAAATCATCCGCCATGGCTGGGTATGAAGACTCAGATAGGGAAGTTAAAACTTAGAAATAGGCATACTCTGTTTCCAGTGCTTGTCATTATGCTGATTTTCGTGAGGGACAAGGCCTTTGCCTTACACCTGGGACCTAACATTAAGAGTCCAGGAGAGAGGATGGAAGGGACCTGCGAGGACCACCTGCTGGGGTCACTCCCTAGAGTCAACACATCCCAGGCATCGGCAATTCCCGGGCTAGCCAGAGCCCTGGGCAGAGACGGTTCTACAAGCAGAACATGTTTTTCACCCTTGCCCTTCTCACCCCTCCAAAACCCCGATCTAAGTTACCGAAAAAGGTGGGACATAGTGGGAAGGGGCAGGCGAAAGAGGAAGAGAAGACGGAGACGGAAAACAATTAAAAAAAAAAAAAAAACGTCAACAAAACTCGATAACCCGAGGGCCCAGTGATCGGCGCCGCATGGCATACAAAAGCCAAAAGGCAGGTCCCAGGACGGGTCAACTTAAGATTTAATATTTGCCTTTCACTAAGCAAACTAATAAATCCCCTACGGTTTTAGCCACGCAGAGCTCCCAGTTTTTATTTATTGGTCAAAACGGCAGGCAGGGTTTCTTTTTTTCCCTCGCAGCCACCCTGGGGGTAAATAGTGGTCCCCCTTCCACCCCTCCTGTCATCGGCCTATATGTCTATTTACCTTCTCCCTCAACAAACTCATGTTCAGTGCAACTGACAATGCGTGCAAACAGCTTTGAAGTATTCTTTGGTAATGGACTTCCCGGACAGCCCTGTTTTTGACTGGCACAGCCAAAGGCAAAGGGAGAAAGGGCTACTGCTTGTCAGGAACCAGCTGGGCCAGGCAAGGCTGAGAACTTGATGTATGGCAGGAACCTCAGAGGATCGTCAGACCAACCCCTGCCCCTTCTCTGTCCCTTTTATAGATGAGAAAACTGAGACCCAGAGAAAAGGCTGGAGTGACTTACATGTGACCCGGACTTAGCTGAAGCCAAAGGCAGGGCCGGTGTCCAGGTTTCCAGACCCCTCAGTTCAGAGCTGTCTTCAGGCCTCCCTCCACCTGTTCTCCACCAGCGTGGCATAGAAGTGTCTTATCCAAGGTCAGTGGCCACTTCCAAGGTCACCTTGAAATCCTTTCAACTGCAGCCTCCTGAGCAGAGGGACTTGTTTCACCACGAGAACCTCCTATCTCTCTTGTCAACGTGACTAATATTTTCCCACATGGATTTCCAGGGCCATTTGAAGAGAATCAAAGTTCTCCTGTGGATCAAGTTCCAATGCCATGGAAAATCTCACAGGCAAGGCTGAACAAAATTGGGGGGTGGGGGCGGTGTCGGGGAGCTAATTTGAAATTGTTATGTTCATAATGAAATTAAGGCAAGATGAAATCCCTTTACATAGTACCTTGGACAATATCTAATGTCCTATTTCTAAGATGAGACATAAAACCCCAGCAAATCTTTAAGACATGGACTCCTAGAAGGCTGATAGCTTATCCATCAAATATGCCAACATTGTGGATGTCAGAACTATTAATAGAATAGGCTCCAGGGATCATGTGGCCCAAATCCTTCATTTTATATGGAAGAAATTAAGATGAGGGGCTTTCTGAGACAAAAACTTAGGTCTCCACCTCCCTGCACTGCATTTTTTTGTTTGTTTGTTTGTTTTACCAGCATCAACATGGGGGAGAGGGCAAAATGCATTTAGCACAACATCTCATTAAGAAATTGACATTCGTGGCCACTTGGCAGTACATGAAACACTCTTTAAAATTCAACTGCTTCCCCATCAGGCTGAGTATCACTCAGCCTCTCTCATAGTCCTTTCCCCCCTGGGCTGAACGATGCCTTGCCAGATTTGAAAGGGGATTCCTGCATGAGTCAGAGATAAATCTAGAGAAGAGTGATGCTTCAGACCACTTCAGCCTCCCGGGTTCTGTGACTGCATGTGGATAAGGAGATAAGAAAAGAGAGGGCCAAGCACATTGGCTCACATACTTCAGAGGCCAAGGCAGGAGGATCCCTTGATCTCAGGAGTTCAAGACGAGCCTGGGCAAGATGGTGTAGACCCTGTCTCTACAAAAAAAATAAAAATAAAAAAATTAGCTGGGCGTGATGGCATACAGCTGTGGTCACAGTTATTCAGAAGGCAAAGACAGGAAGATTTCTTGAGCCCGGGAGGTCGAGGCTGCAGTAAGCTGAGATCATGCCACTGCACTCCAGCCTGGGTGACAGAGTGAGCCAGAGAGAGAGACAGAGAGAGAGAGATTGAGAGAAGAGATTGTTGCCTTTGACATAAGATCAGGACTTCTTTTGAAACCAAAGAGTGAAAGTGGAACATAAATGAAGGGATCATCTGAAATGCCTTCATCTTTTAAAAAAGAAAAATGGCACCCAAAGAGGTGAGTGAGCATCCCTCCAATGGTAGTGAAGGTGAGTGAGAATCGCTACAGGGGCAAACAGCAAGGTGCATGGTATGTCCATACGTTCATCCCTACCCTAGCATGTAATTCCCTCCCTGTGGTCTTGCCAGGCCAGATGAATGAAATTATCTGAAGACCCCTGTTCCAGCACTGTAAACACTCATGCCTGTCTTTCAGCAGAAAAGATGGAGGCCAGATGCTCCGACAAGCAGCAACAACTTCAGGATGCCACGCAATCCTGAAAACTTGGCTTTTTCTAGTCCACAAAAGAACCTGTAATTTGCCTTCAGATTGTTCTTACTTGTTATGAAGACTAAAAAAGTTGGGCTGGTGCAACTCTCCCTTACCCACTCCCCCTGCCTCTGCCCCAACCACCACCTCCTCCAAGTTCTGCTCCCTCATCCCAGATAAAGTCAGTGTCTAGAAAGCTAAGTATAAAATGGGAGGCCCCACTGCACACTGAATTGAACTCAAAGGTTATCTAGGAGACTTTAGAGAGAATGTACATACTTAGCCCCAGTTTACACACCCTTGATATTTTAAAGGATTCTAGAATTCAAAGGAATTTCAGGAAGTCCTCGAGCCAACTCCTTCGCTTCCCAGACAACACCATCCCAAAGATTTTAGTTCTTGATCTCTGTCTAGCAAAGATGCAGATTTGGAATCTTGGCTCATTATTCTACAGAGAGCATGTGTATGCGTGTGTGCGTGTGCTTGCACACACACTACAGGCTCTCTTCCTCAGTTCCCAGTGACTGTGTTAGTTTTGTTTCTTAATGAACTGTTTTGTTTTTCATGAGAAAGTTAGTTTCTCCTTTGTAAGTAGGGTTGTATTGGAGCGGAATCCCTGATACTTTGAAGGCCTGCCATGCCCACCATCTACAACACTCAGAAGGACATGGTCTCAGTTGGTTCTTCATACAACCCTACCATCCTGGAAACAATTGATTTGGTCAGCATTGGTGCCTGATCCAATAGCATCCACCTGTGGCTGCCTGAGGGCCAATGAAGTAACCAGATACAAGAGCTCTGAATGCAGATTGGCTAAACCAGTCAACAGCATCAGTCAGTTAATAGTAAGTAACGAAGTAGAAGCAGAGTCGTTGAGTCACCCAGGAGGGTGACCAGTTGTCCCAGTTTGCCCAGGACTGTCCCAGGTTTAGCACTGAATGTCCTTCATCCCAAGAAACCCTTTAGTCCTGGGCAAACTGGGACCGTTGGTTACCCTCAGCTCATCACCACAGCAGAATTCTAGAGTCAGGGACAGCAAAACCTGCTGCTGAACAGAGGATCAAGATGACCATGATGGGATTGCTCTTGTTATCCTTGGAAACCAACTAGTGCTTCTGTGTCTGCTGAATGACCTTGGGCTTTTTGAAAAGGCTTAGCTAGGCAGTGGTTGGGACTGTTTCCTGTCTACCTTACTATCACTGTGACTTTTGAATAAACCAGCATTTATGAAAGTAATGTAAGTGGATCTCTGTTCTTTGACACTTGTAGGAATCCAAGGAATACAATGCCTGTAACTGTGTGTCAAGCAAGGGAGGAAAAGGTGAAAGCCGATCAACAATCTGTAAATTTCAATAGCTCTAAACATTGTCAAGAGGTTCTCCTCAATCATTTTGTGATGAATCTGAGATGTCCACAAAGACTCCATTGTTCCACTTAGAAGACACCAGATTCACTAAATGTTCATACAAGCACATCAACTGCAACATACAAAAGCTTTAATTCTTTTTGTAAAAAGCAAGCCATCTATTTGCCTTGGAAATAATAATAAAGTACAAGTAGCTTTGACTCTGCATTTGGACAAGGGTGAACCATGATAGATATTTAGGAAGGGTTTTAAATCATGTGTATGGTGGCCACAGAGTAAAAAGAACAGAGAAGACTCAAGCTATTGTCAGGTGTGTATGTGTCATCAGCACATACTGGGGGAGGAGGGTCCTCACTAGGTGTCACCATCCCTGGCAGCTGTTAGTCTGTCATGAAGCACCATGATCTGGCATGGACCCCCAACTGCCACTTGTGAGAAGGTCTTCACAGCAGACTGTGCATCTGTGTCACAAAACACGGCTGCAATGAACAACAGTGTTCATTTTTTTCCCTTCCAAATGTATACTTATGTGTGATCCAAGCAAAGAAAGTTGAGGATGGAGAACACCAGCCTTCACCATCAGTTCCCCTGCTGAAGCCTTCTCCAATGGCCCTAAGGTCCGAGAGCCTGATGAACTTCTGCACTGATCCATGTATCATTCTGGAACTTGATGGCTGAGGAATACAATGAGATCCCAAACAAATGAGAAGAGTTACTATTCCAAGGCTGCTTGCAACGCACAAACACTGGCCTCTTTAGACGGAGCAGGAACAAAAATTCAGATCCTATTTGACCTAAGTGTGGTTAACTATTCACTCTGTATCCGGCTGGAAGATAATGGAGCAAACAAGAATTGCTGAGTACAAAGGCACAGCAGACATGGGAGGCGGGGGGCAAGAAAGGGCGTGGTAGAAAGCCCTTTGGTTGCCTGAGACAGGGAGGGGGAAGAGTCTCATGAGCAGTAGCAGCAGAGGAAACATTTTCCACAAGGAAGAAGGACAAGGTCTGGCATAATGAGTCTTCTCCAACTGTAGGTCACCTCCAGCGATGCATCCCTCTGCTCCTTCAGGTCAACACAGACTATTTCTCATTGTGAAGGTCTTTGCTTTCTACCCAAATGGCTCCTCAAATCCAGAGGTTTCTTTATTCTCCAAAATAAGACTATTAGTAGTATTATTTTGAGACAGGGTCTCTCGCTCTGTTGCCCAGACTGGAGTGCAGTGGGGTAATCACAGTTCTTTGCAGCCTCAACGTCCCAGGCTCCAGCCGTCCTCTTGCCTCAGCCTTCTGGGTAGCTGGGACTACAGGCACATGCCACCATGCCCTGCTAATTTTTTATTTTATTATTACTATTTTTTAGAGATGGGGTCTCCTTATGTTGCCCAGGCTGGTCTTGAACTCCCAGACTCAAGCAATCCTCCCACCTTGGTTTCCCAAAGTGTTGGGATTATAGGCATGAGGCACCATGCCCAGCCAAGAATTTTTGATCAAATCCGGAGCTCCTGCCACTCAAGAGGTGGTTCAGCCTTGACCAGGTCCTTCCAGGGGGTCCAGGTGGCATACAGGGGTTCCACTAAGCTTCCTGGTGGGAACGTGGATCAGTCCTCCTTCCCATCCTGTGGATCAAAAAACAGCATGAGAGATATATTCTAGCTTCTGCCTTTTCAGGGGCTAACATCACATTACTGTCTTTGGTTCATAATGTTTTAGCTGTTGAACAGAACATATACTTCAAAAAGCAGTATTTTAGTTAAGTGGGGTGGTTGGGGGGAAGCCTATTTATACCTCTCAAGGAACGATCCATCCCCTGAATCATCACCAGGAACCCTCCTACACAAATCCCACCACCATATCCAGAGCTGATTTTTTAAAATGCCACTGAGCACAGCCAGTCCAGAGGAAGTGGAAAATTCTGTTTTTCAGCCGGTCACCATTATTTCTGTGATTTACGGGGCAGGGAGCATGGGGGTGGTAGATCACCTACTTCACAGTGGAAAGCCAAGGCACAGAGGGTGCCGGTGTTCTTGCTACAGAACAGCAGGGCTCTGGTTCCTAATCCTAAAGTTTAGGATTTACTAGGAACTTCTCTCTGCTTCTGAAACACCCTTAACAATAAATTAGGAACTTACCCAGAGTGGATAGCTCAGAGGAAATGGGAAGACACCATTAAATATATTTCTTCTTCCCTAATTCTGAAAGCAAATAAATTAAGATGGACTTGGACTCATGATACTTTCCTTGATGTTCACCCCCCAGCATTACCTTCCATTACTGAGTAACAAATACATTGAATAGCACCAAATGCCCTCAGGAGACTGCCCTATTTTAAAACTGATGAGTCTCAGTAGTGCAAGTGAGGGGCCTTGTGTTAGTCTGTTTTCACACCATTATAAAGAAATACCTAAGACTGGGTAATTTGCAAAGGAGAGAGGTTTAATTGACTCTCAGTTCCACGTGGCTGGGGAGGCCTCAGGAAACTTACAATGGTGGCAGACGGCAAAGAGGAAGCAAGGACCTTCCTCACATGGTAGCAAGAGAGAGACGAGCAAGCAGGGGAAATGCCAGACACTTATAAAACCATCAGATGTCATAAGAACTCACTCACTATCATGAGAACAGCATGGGGGAACCAGACCCCATGATCCAATCACTTCCCACCAGACTCCTCCCTCCACACCTGGGGATTATGGGGATTACAATTCAAGATGAGATTTGGGTGGGGACACAAAGCCAAGCCATGTCAGGCCTATTCACAGATATAGGTAACACAGGCCTTACGAAAGAGACTGCCCTCTGGGTCTCTGATTCTAGCAATCACTATCAATCCACAAGGAATACCTGGGCAACCACAAATCCATGCATTCACAAGTACCATATTGGATTAGATGCTGTGGATGCAGGAATTAACCAGACAGGCAAACCCCACCCTCACAGGTCATAATGGAGACATAACATGGATCGAAGGTTTCCTTAGGCAAGCATGGGGCCAGAGGACAGCAAGGCCTTGAGGGAAATGCACCACGGATTCTGGGGGCATTCGGAAACCAACAGGCCCCCTTCTGTCCCTCAAAAGACCTGGGGGCCCTGCTTAACCTGGTGCAAAGGAACTCTCCTTCACAAAGCTGAGGCCCTGGTGGAGATGTGTGCAATGGCCAGGAAACCCAGAGAGAAGGGCACTAGTGACCAGAGATGAGAAAATGACACTGTGGTGTTATACACACACACACACACACACACGGGTTCTCATCCAAAGTTGCTAGCTCATAACTCCCATAGCCCTTGTTACAGTCTTTTGCTATAACGTTGGGCCTCAGGAAACAGAATCCCTCTCCTGTGCTCCTTACACCTGCTCCAAGACAGAACTCTAATCTTTCCCACCTTTCTGACTATGGGTCTTGAGGCCCTCCCCAGAGAGGGACCTGCCCTATACCTTGGGGAAAGAATACCGATGTCATGAAGCTTCCATGAAACCTCAAGAGGTCAGGGTTTGTCCAGACAGCTGGGCACATGGAAGTTCCTGGAGGGTGAAGCATCCAGGGAGGACAGGGAAGCCCCACACCCCTTCCCCCACACCTCATCCTATGCATCTCTTTGCCTGTATCCTTTGTAACAGCTTTTAGAATAAACCACTAAATGGGTCTCCCTGAGTTCTGTGAGCTGCTCCAGCAAATTAATTGAACCCAGAGAGGGGAGTCATGGGAACCCCAACTTGAAGCTGGTCGGTGAGAAGTTCCAGAGGCCCGGACTGGCAACTGGTGTCTGGGGAGGAGGGGGCAGTCTTGGGTACTGAGTCCTCAACCCATGGGATCTGATGCTATGTCCAGCCAGATGGTATCAGAGTTGAATTGGTGTCGGGGAAAAACCTGCACACATTCAGTCACCGACATCTTCCGTGTTGATTGTTGCAGCGTGAGAGCAGAGCAAAAGCATGGTTGGAAAGAGTTTTCCCTGCACAGTCACGATGAGAGCCCGGGAGGGACTGACGAGAAGAAAATGGTCCAAGACATTTCTCTGCGGATGAACTGGGACAGGAGAGTCTGCATTTTAGAATCGATTAAAAAATAAAAGGATGAAAATCCAAAAAGGCAACCAATGTGCGGACACAGAAGTGCTTGTTCGCTCTGGGCAGCTCTCTGATTGGTGGCCAAGAAGGAAGCCAGGAGCCTTTGCCACAGGTGTCGCCAGGGTCCTCTGGACACCCCTTTCATGTGGACCTGAAAACACCCCACACAAACCCAAAGTTCTGCCGACCTTCCTCTGGTTTCATTCCTCCGCCTGGGCAGTGGACCTCTGAGCTATCTCAGAGACAGCCCTTTTCCCCTGGGAGACGCATGCAGCTCGAAAATTAATTGGCAACAGTCCGGTGAATCACACAGGGACTTCCTTCTTGTTGCCGGGCAACTGCATGCACTTGGCAGTGGGACATTAAACACAGAGGGGAATGCTGTGAGGCATTTGCGAAATAAAATAAAAAGCAAAACATACAACACCCCAGACTCTCGTCCCAGGAGGGCTGGCCCAGCCAAGGGGTTTTTGGGGGCGATGAGGGAATCCACACAGGGGAGGAAAACGAGGTTAGGCCATAAGCAGATCCTAACTCTCCCACCTCCTCACAAATCTAATGCTTCTAGATACGGCATTTGTATTCCACTAAAGACGCACCTCTATTACCTAGAGAAAGACCATAGGAGGCACAGGAATTAGAAGGCATCTAGAGATCTGATCCCCTAGAATTACAGGGAAGCTTTGCAAAGCTCGCTACGGAACTACCACAACTACTGATTATGCTTCTCCATCATACATCACTCCACAGGTTAAGTCACCTGGCTGAGATGACACAGGCCCCTCCAGGGCAAGATCCTTCCTTCCACTCCCCTCCACCCCCAGGTCGTTTCCACTTGAATGTTTTCATGTTTGTTGCTGTGGCCACTGGGAGCTGATTAGACAAACCCTCCCAACACTTTGCCTTGCCCTGTAGACCATATTTCTAGCCTCTTTTAAAAAAAAACAAAACAAAAAAAAAAAAAAAAAAAAACACCCAGACAGAAGTGAAATCTATGTACGTTCTGTGTTTGGAAAAAACGATGGGGATAAGAAATGGAAGAACAGTAGCAAGAGGGCTCCTGTGAGGGGCTGAATAGTAGCCCCCAAAGATGTCCACATCCTGATCCCTGCAAGCGGTGAATCCTACCTCGTACAGCAAAAGGACCTGTGCAGATGTAAGGATCTTGAGAAGTTGGCCTGGACTATCCAGGTAGGCCCTAACTGTGATCCCAAAGGTCTTTATAAGAGGGAGGCAGAGGGAGATCTGATCCTGGAGAGGTAGTAGGCAGTATGATAATGGAAGCAAGAGGTTGGAAGGATTCAAGGAAGGGGTGGAAGAAAACAGAGTTTGCCCTAGAACTTCCAGAAGGAAGCCCCAGAGATGCCTGGACTTTTGTTCAGTGAAGCTGGTCTCCAGAACTGTAAAGAATGAATTTGTGTTGTTTAAAGCTACTATCCTTCCCCAGGGCAGGACTAATCTTCCCCACCTTTCTGACTATAGGTCTTGAGACCCTCCCCAGAGAGGGACCCGCCCTATACCCTGGGGGAAGGAATGCTGATGTCATGAAGCTTCCATAAAACCCCAAGAGGACAGGGTTCTCTGGGAAGCTTCCAGATAGCCGAGTACCTGGAGGTTCCTAGAGGGTGGAACATCCAGGAAGGGCACGGAAGGTCCACACCCCTTCCTCCACACCTCACCCCATGCATCTCTTCACCTGTAGCCTTTGTAACAGCCTTTAAAATAAACCATTAAACGTGTTTCCCTGAGTTCTGTGAGCTGGAGAACCATCTTCCTTGTCAGTCCCTCTGGGCCCTCATCGTGACTGTGCAGAGAAAACTCTCTCCAACCGTGCTCTTCCTCTGCTCTCACCCCACAACAATCAACACGGAAGATGCTGGTGACCAAATGTGTGGGAATTTCTCCCCCCGACATGGAGCTGTAGACACCTGCTAGGTATCCTCCAATTCAATTCTGACCACTGAGTTTGTGGTCATGAAACTAATCTTGTCAATACAGTGTCTGTATTTTCCCAGAGTCTTTTGAAGAAAGTATCACAGGAGGGATATGGGTAACAGTGAAGGGAGCTGGGCAAAAGAGGTGGGATCCGGAATTTAGGTTAGAAAGGTCGAACCAACACCCTGCAGCCTCAGCAAGAAAAGAGCAGGTCTGTGAGAGCATCGGCAAGAAGTGGCACTGGCTTTGAAGTGGGATGTTAAATTAAACCATTTGCTGACTGTAACTTGGGCAGGTGGCTTCATCTCTGAAAGCCTCAGTTTCATCATTGCAAAATAGAGATATTATCGTCCACCTTTGCAAAGCTCTTAGGATTAAATGAGATAATACGTGAAAAGCAGCTGGCCCATAGTAAATGCCAAATACACCACAACCCTTAGGAAAGAGTAGGTGTGCACAGATGAGCATAATCTGTGAGTTGCCCACTGCCATATCTATTCTACCCTTTCCTCTTAGTAACAGAACTCTAATTTGGAGTTCACACGTTGCAGCTCACAGTAAAAAAAAAAAAAAAAAAAAAAAGACTACATTTCCCAGCCTTCCTTGCAGTTAGATATGACCACATAACCAAGATCTGGCCAAGGAGACATAAGCAGAAGTGTTGCAGGACTTCTGGGGAGGCTGCTTCAAAAGGTGCTGGAAGGAGCCCAGTTTTTACTTGCCTGCCTTTATTATCTTCTGCTTGTAATGAGGACATGATGTGTGGTGCTCCAGCAATCATCTTGGACTCTGAGGGACATGGAAAATGGAAGGCATGCAGTTAGACGGTCTAACAAAAAGATGGGAGTCCGGATATCTGACCATTTCACAGCTATCACACTAGCTTTCAGTGGCCTCCCTCTGGATTTCTATGTGAGAGAGAGATGCTCTTCTGTCTTAATTTAGTCATTGTTGTGTTGTCTTGGATTTTTCTTTTTTTTTTTTTAGACAGAGTCTCGCCCAGGCTGGAGTGCAGTGGCATGGTCTCAGCTCACTACAACCTCTACCTCCCAGGTTCAAGTGATTCTCCTGCCTCAGCCTCCCGAGTATCTGGAATTACAGGTGTGTAACACCATACCCAGCTAATTTTTTGAATTCTTAGTAGACATGGGGTTTCACCATATTGGCCAGGCTGGTCTCGAACTCCTGGCCTCAAGTGATCCACCTGCCTTGGCCTCTCAAGGTGCTAGGATTACAGGCATGAACCACCGTGCTCAGTCCGTTGTCTTGGATTTTTAGTAATCATCATGGGTACAACATATCACAGATCTAGGCAAGTAGGATTCAGAGTCACTCAGAGACAACGGTTCTAAAACTGTAACCCTGATCAACAAGCTTGACATCACCTGGGAACTTGTTAGGAATGCAAATTCCTGGGCTCTACTCCAGATTTACTGAATAAAACACTCTGAGAGTGCAGCCCAGCAATTCGCTTTAATAAACTCTCCAGGTGATTCTGATGCAAGCTCAAGTGTGAGAACGACTAGTCTAGAGCAAGATTTCTCAACTAGGCATGCTCGGGGCTGGACAATTCTTGGTTGTGGGAGACTGTCCCGTGCATTGTGCGATATTCAGTGCCATCCCCAGCCTCTACTCGCTAGATGCCAGAGCCACCCCCCCCAACCCAATCCTAGGCGTGATCATCAAGAATGTCTCAGACACTGGGGTATGCCTGGGATAGGGTGAGCAGGGAGCAAAATTGTCCTCGGTGTAGAAACACTGTCCCAGAGGAGTGATTCTTTCTTAATCTTGGCTACGCTATAGAATCACCTAGGAAGCTCTCCAAATTCCACTGTCTCAGCCTCATCCCAACCCAGTTAAGGCAGAATCTATGAGGGCAGGACGGAGACAGCAGTGAAAACTCCCTGACTGAGTGCAATGATGAGCCAACGTTAAGAATTGCTCATTGCAGAGGGGCAGCCAGCCAGAAGAGGAACTGTGTGCTCTGAGCTGGTGAAGGTACTGAACCCCGATTATGAGCAGGACATAAGAGGTTCCAAAGCAAAAACTGTAATAAGAGTGGCTGGGGCGGACTTGGGAACCAATGTTGTACCTGCCAGATGGGTGACTAGACGGGGTGGAATTCCTGGCAGCTGTGTCACCTCATTTCCCATAAGAACAGGGTGGACACCTTTCAGTCTCTCACATAAATAACCACACAAAGCCTCAGTTTCCTCCCCTAATAAACAGCACACAATAAGCCAGCTCCCACAAGGCGCTAAGCATTAGCTCATCCCACGAAAAGAACTGTCTTAATAAAGGCAGCCATGTGACCGTGGGCCTCTTTCAAGATAAACTCCATGGGAACAAGGACACTCTCTGAGCAAGCACAGATTTCACATACATGTAATGGAGTTCTGACAATAAGCTTGGCAATGGGGCCATAATGGAGGTGGAGTGGAGAAGGAAGAATTAAATGAGAAACCAGCGACCAAGCATGAGGGAGGGATGAATAAGCAGATGCCCTCTCCTTAAAAAGAAAGATTAAGTCCCATATAAATTCTTTCTCCTGCCAGGACTGACTTTTTTCTTCATGATTTCATTCCCAGCCTGCTCTGCTAAAATGCTGAGCCGAGCTTTTCCTTGTTTCCCTTGGCCTAAATCATTAAGTCCAGGATGTCAGTAGGGGGAGGCAAGGGGGTGTGTAGAGAAGAGGAGAAGAAAAGGAAGAAGCTGACTCTTACTCTCTCAGGTGTACCAAGTCACTGCAGGACCAGGATCAACGGCTTCCCTGCACTCTGCATTTTCAGCCCCACCTGGCTAGCCCAGATGGAAAGATAAAGGAACAGGTACCAATCTATAAAGCATACAGAAAAAGCCAACTCCTAGTGTATCTCCCAGAGGCCTTAGGGTCAGCATGTCCATTCTTTCCCAAGGGATTTGCCTTCTATTCTTTCAGTCCTTTTACTGCAGCTGATTGGGACAAGGGAGAAGAAATCCAATTGCTCCATACCAGCAAGACCAGAAAGACAAGGAACCCAGGATTCTGTTCCAGGTTCCTTTTCTGTGCCTAAGGATTTCCAACAGGTCACTGCGACAAGTGAGTCTGAAGAATATAGGGCCTTGTTCCTTCCAGTGTTCCCACCTTCCTTTTTCTTTCTTTTTTTGAGACGTCATTTCGCTCTTGTCACCCAGGCTCACTGCAACCTCCGCCTCCCAAGTTCAAGCGATTCTCCTGCCTCAGCCTCCCGAGTAGCTGGGATTACAGGCACGTGCCACCACGCCCGGCTAATTTTTATATTTTTAGTAGAGACGGGGTTCCACCATGTTGGCCAGGCTGGTCTCGAACTCCTGACCTCGTGATCCACCCGCCCTGCCTCCCAAAGTGTTGGGATTACAGGTGTGAGCCACTGCACCCAACCCACCTTCCTTTCCTTACCCTCACCACCCCCTCCTCACAAAGTCAAAGAGATCTCCCACTTGACTCAAGTCCCTGGGTTCCCTCCGGCCAGTAAACCTCGTGTGCAAATGTCCTAACTCTTGCAAACGTGTTAAAAAACAAACCTTAAAAAGCTTCCAGATGTTCTGTTTGTATTGTGGTGCTTCTCTGCTCTGGTCTCCAGAGGCCAATACGCAGTGCACAGCATCCTGACTGCCCAGATAAAATATGAGGCAGCCAAGAGGCACAGCCTGGGGGTGAGTGGGGATGACCCTTCCCCCAGGACCACAGCTTCCCCAGTTCACCTGTTAACTCTTCTATTGTCAAAGGGCAACTTTCCACGCAAAAACCTTCAAAAGGCTGCAAAGGAACTAAGCTTTTAGGTTTTGCCTCCTCTGAGTGTCCGCCTCACCTCACCACTAAACTTCTCACACCAACTGCCTTTGGGATGTCGAGTCAGGGACTCAACGACACAAGAGTGACCCTCCTACTTAAGATGCTAAGTTACCATTTTCAAGGATATCTTAGGAGCTGGACCATCCAGAATGAGGGAACAGAGTTCATGCGTTGTCGAGGCCCCTCTGGGGCTGGTGGCCTCTGATCTACAGAAAGGTAATTGCCAACGGGCCAGCTTGTGCACACACAGCCACACACGCAACCCAAGGTGCCCACACCTGAGGGCCCACGATTCTTTGCACAGGGTGACGCCTGCTCCCTTTGATCCTTGCCGGATGTGTTCCCATTGGGCAAAAACCAGGCCTCAATAAAACCCGGCATTATCAAGAGGCCGGTGGTTTGTGATTGCACCAGCCTGTTATCTCCGAGGCCCTGGGTGGGGCTGCTTTGCGGTTCTCCATTGAAAAGCATTAACTTATAGGTAGATCAAAGACCCTCCCGAACCAGCCGACCTGGATCCCTTGTTTGTCCCGGTGGACTGTGCCAAAAGATGGACTTTAAAGATAATAGGTACCCCAGTCCCAGACTCCCTTCTGCCCTCTCCTTATCACGCACTATGTCCCTCAGGGGCCATCCAACAGCCAATCATAAAGCCTTTCCTTCTCTTTCTTCAGATGACCCATTTAACAGCAAGTAGGGGACCTGGCCGGACAGAGTCCTGGCCCTACTGCAACAATGAGGGTCGAGGGGGAGAGAGAAACAGTGACTTTGAGACCAGGCAGGAGCTCTTCTCCCCTTTGGGAATCAGGCCAGGAGTGAGATTCCAGAGAGAAGGTCGCTGGTTCCACTCTCTCCTCGTGAGGGATAAACTGCCAGGTCCTCTTCCCTTGGTCCCTAAAGTTCCCTGTTGGCCTCTACTGCCCACCCAGATGTTTGAGAGCTCGTGGTCAGTCTGCAGTGAGGACACAGTGGGACCTCTGAGTTGTTTGGATCTGGGTCACCGAGCAGGACTGCCCATTGATACGGGAGAGAAAGAGCATGTATCCCCAGACTGTGGGTGCTGGCAGCCTGCTCACCTCCTGATGTTCCCCAGCCTGGTAGTGCAAGTCGACCTGGCCAGCTGCAGGCTGCAGTAGCAACCATGTTTTCCTTCTTGTGTTGAGGGTACCAAGCTCACTGTCTGGCAATGAAGAGGCAAAGGAATGAATGAGTGAACAAACGAACAAATGAATGGATCGTGAGCAACACAAGCTAGTCATCTTAAAGCATGGGAGGCCCTTAGAACACGGACCCACTCATTCCTGCCAGTGGGAAAACACTTCAGGTGGTAATTCTCAGAGATCCCACAGCTTACTGATACGAAGTCGGATCGGGGTTCCAGTCCTGGGTTAGTTACCCTCTTAGGAGCAGTAGGCTCCTGGGCAAGTAACCTCAAATCTCTTGAGCCCATCTGTAAAACAGGGATAATTTCTAGGCTTGTTGTGAGGACGGAGTTAAGTACGAAAGACTCAATTTTGTTTTTTTTTTTTTTTTTTGAGATGGAGTCTCTTTCTGTTGCCAGGCTGGAGTGCAATAGCACAATCTCGGCTCACTGCAACCTCTACCTCCTGGGTTCAAGTAATTCTCCTGCCTCAGCCTCCCGAGTAGCTGGGACTACAGGCACCCACCACCTCACCCAGCTAATTTTTGTATTTTTAGTAGAGACAGGGTTTCACCGTGTTGGCCAGAATAGTCTCGATCTCTTGACCTCACGATCCGCCCGCCTCGACCTCCCAAAGTGCTGGGATTGCAGGCGTGAGCCACCATGCCTGGCCTATTTGTTCTTATTGCTCTATTTCCCTATGGCATTATCTCCATTTCAAAAATATAGTCAGCACCTTTCTGAAGAGGAAGGACATTAAGCCACTTCCATGGTTATTTTTTCTGCTATAAACCATTCCTAAAAAGTATACAATAAAGCCCAGATCCATCTTCCATTACTCCTTTTCTTTTCCTTTTTAAATCAATAAATTGTTTGTCACATTTAGATTAACCCTTACCTCGCCTCCTTCCATATTCCCTCAACCACCCCTAAAAGTTCTGAGAACTTGTGTCCACGAGCAGGGAGGAAGGAGGTAATGAAGGCAGGAGTCGTGATCAGGGCACTTAAAACACCCTCACCATGAATGATTTAGCTCAGCTACTGATAAAGGCATGATTCCAAAACAGCTAAGACTCATCCAAACTCTAGTTTGGCTATTATTTCATGCTACCTTACATAGAAATCCAACTCCTATATCTTTCCCTTGTATCTTTCATCTTTCTAATTTGTGTTCTCTCTTCCTTGAACCCCTGGTTTGTCTGTCTCTGTCTCACTCTCATTAGAGACACCACGGCCTTATGAGCCAAGATAGGCCAACTCAACTGGAAACGATGCTTATGGGGGCTCTGTCTGTTCTGCCTGGTCCTGGCCCCGCATGGCCCGGCCAGCTTGTGGCATCTGTGCCAAGGTGAGCAGGGGAGCTGGGCCTCGGCACCCTCCCATCACGACGGGGCCAGGCTGTTACCCAAGGCTGCAGCTGGACTCTCAGAGGCACGGGGAGGTCAGGCAGCAAGTTCACAGAACAGGCCACCCACACAGCACATCAGGGCTGCTGGACTGTCCCCAGGGCCAGAGCCGCTCTGGCCCTTGGCCCTGACTCGGAAGACTCCACCATATGGCCTCCCTCTGGGAGGGTGAGAGGAAGAAAAGAAGTAAACCAGGGGCTAGGAAGAGCCATGCTGCCCTCTGAATGCCAGAGACCCTTCTTGGGCATGGGGTTGGTGGGTATTAGATTTGCTCCCAGCAGGTCTGAGACAAGAAAGGGGGTGTCCAATAAATGAAATGGGTAACAGCTGATAGCAATACAATAGATGAGCAGATGAGATTGGGCTCTCCTTTCTGCTCTTCTGGGGTGTTCCCTCTCTCTCTCTCTCTCCAGCCCCTAAATGTGTTTCCAGGGTTTAATCTGAACTTCAAAAACCCTAAAGTTTTTGGGAGACTTCACACTTTTCTAATTAAAGACCCAAACTGGATTTTCATGTTTGCAGAGAACTTTGACCAAAAGTGTAGGCAGCAGAGCAAAACAGGAAGAGAATGATCTCTCTCTTGTTCTCTTGTTTCTCTCTCTCTCTCTCTCTCTTTCTCCTCCCCTTAAAAAGTACTGGGGGTTAGGGGAAGGAAGCAAACAAAACCTCTCTGCAGCTTTGGCCCCTAAGTCCCCTGAGCCTGCCAGTGTTCTGTTGACAGCCTTTCTCTTTCTGCGGTCCTATAGGCAAGAGTTCCATCCCTGTTGGGGCAGGGGTGGGGGTGGGGAGAGCTGGGCAAGGCTCTGGGAAAAGAGAGGAAGGAGGCAAAGAGTAGATTCTCTGGCACAGCTGCCAAGAAAAGAGCCCGAATGCCTCGTCTCAGCGGAAGGCAACCCTCCTGGGCTCCCAGGCATGCTGGGGCTTGCTAAAAACCAGAGCCCTGGCTGGCAGAGGCGGTGGACAGGGAACCAGAATTCAAAGGGGCGGCCGAAGGAGGGGGTTGCGGGGGAAGAGGGGGAGGTTTCAGTGAATCATATAAATTAGAGACAGAAAGGATGTCAGGCCACCTTCATTTCCTTCCTCTCCTAATGGGAATTATCTCATTAGCCCCGAGCTTCCTAGAGGCTAACTTTAAATGATTCCTGTAATGGGGGTTTCAATGTACACTCCACCTCCCCATCCGATCTGACTCTTAGGAGAGCTAAGAAAGGCTCTTAAAGGAACAGCAACAAAAAGACACCAGCACTATCTACTGACCACTGAATATGTCATGCAACCTAAGGATGGCCCTTTCTCCTTCTAGGTCCACTTTTAGGAATTTATTGTGAGAAAATAGTCATGAATATGGTGATGAGCTGAATAATGGCACAAGCTCTTGCTCCCCTCCACTCCCTAATAAAAGACAGCCATGTTCTAATCTCTGCTATGTATGAATGTTACCTTATGGTATATGGTAAAAGGCACTTGGCAGATGGAATTAAGTTAAAAGTCTTGAGATGGTGAGATTATCCTGGATTATCCGGATGGACCCTAAATGTAGCTACAAGAGTTCATATAAGAAGGAGGCAGAGGGAGACTTGACTACAGAGAGGAGAACTCCACAAAGGCAGACACTGGAGTGATGTGGCTCCAAGCCAAGGAATGCCAGCAGTCATCAGAAGCAAAAAAAACAATTATCCTCTGAAGCCTCCAAAAGAAACCTGCCCTACTGACAATGACTTGGTTTTAGCTTAGCTCCAGAAGTCTCAGTCAGACTTCTGGCCTCCAGAGCTACAAGAGAAAAATCTGTGTTGCTCTAAACCACGAAGTTTGTGGTAACTTACTACATCAGCTTCAGGAAGCTAGTACAGATAAAAATAACATTTTTGCTGCAAGGATTGTCATCAGAGCCTTATTTTACAGCAAAAGGGAAAAAAATGTTGGAAACATAAAAAAAAAAACTATTAAAAAATAACCATGTCATGTTCCTACAATGAAATACTAAACAATCAAGAAAACATTGAACTATTACTTAATGATAAAAGATTAACATCCTATAACTATAGTTCCTAAGTATTTCCATTTTATACATTTTTCTAATAGTAAGCATCTTATAATTCCTTCTGTCATTGTATAAGTTACATGTTTATTTGCAGAGTGGTATGAGTGTTAAGGATGGTTTGATCCCTTTCTATGAATAAAGATGCAGGAACTGGTGGAAATTTAGTAGAGGAGGTCAAACAGAGCAGGGGGTCCAGAGCTGGCATCCTTCTGGGCTCTGAAAACCCCCAAGGTTCCTGGCAAAAAGACTCTATACACACCTCATCCTGGCACCATGGGGCATCTGGCCTGCAGACCCTGCCCACTAACAAATGAACGAGTCCAGTCTCCTTACCATGCAGTGCAAATCCCCAACCCCCCACCTCAAGTCTGTTTCTCCCAGACTTTCTGGGAGAAACAGACTTGAGGTGGGGGGTTGGGGAATTGGGCTGCAAAATAACCCTCAAAGCATGGTTATTTTTGCCTCCTTACTCTTATCTGTCTCTCAAGGTTGGGTGGTGTATTAGTTTACTAGGGCTGCCATTCCAAGTTAGTACAAACTGATGGCTTAAAACTGTGAGAGAACTTATTCTCTCACAGTTCCAGAGGCCAGAGGGCCAAAATCAAGGTATGGAGAGGGTTGATTCCTTCTGGTGGTTTTAGGGGAGAATCTGCCCCCTGCCTCTCTCCTGACTTCTGCAGTCAATCCTCAGCATTCCTTCGCTTGTGGATGTACCACTCCAATCTCTGCTCCATCTTCATAGTGCCTTCCTTTCTGTCTTCTTCTCTTCTAAGGATGTGTCACTGGATTTAGGACCTGAATCCAGGATGATTTCATCTCAAGATCCTTAGCTAATTACATGTGCAAAGGCACTATTTCCAAATAAGGTTAGATTCTGAGATTCTAGATGGACATGAATTTTGGGAGATCACTGCTCAAACTATTACAGAAAGCCTTCAACTTCTCCTTCTCTTTGGAGACAGGGTCTCACTCTGTAGCCCTGGCTGGAGTAAAATGGTGCCATCTTGGCTCACTGCAACCTCTACCTCCCAGGCTCAAGTGATCCTCCCACCAGGATCCTCTACAAAAAATACAAAAATTAGCCACCATGCATGGCTAATTTTTGTAAAGACAGAGTCTCCCTATGTTACCCAGATGGGTCTTGAACTCCTGGGCTCAAGGAATCCGCCCACCTCTGCCTCCCAAAGTGATAGGATTACAGGTATGAGATACCATAGCCCGCCTCCCTGCTCTCTCTCTAGTTCAGTTCATTTTTTTCTCTAAGTTTCAGTAATTCCACAAGATCTTCTCTGATTCTTCCAGGTCCTATCCCTTCACAGAACTTTTCTGTAGTCTGCATTCCACAATTCAGCCATACTGCCATACTCCCATTCCCCATTCATTGCCTAGGACCTACAGATGGAAGTATCCAAAGGCAGATGGACACTCCCTAAATGGATGAACTTCCCACCAACTGCAGGTGCCAATGTTAGAATGGGTAGCCTCAGGAGAGATGAAATTCTCCATCATTAAAGTGTCCAAGCAGAAAGCACCTATCTGGACAGGCTGGGAGGATGCTGTGGGTCTGAATGGGAGATGGAATTAGGTGGTCA